GTAATCGTTTCATCCCTAGACAGAGATAATTCTGACAGAGAGATGTCAACCAATATGATATGTGCACACCCACACAGTCCAGAGAATACGTCTAATCAGCCAAGTAACTGATAACACTTGTGTGGGTGCACGATGGCTGAACAGAGGCTTTAACCAAATGAAGAGCCGCTTCCGTTAAAGCTTCAAAGTGAGGTGATCCACAGTGAATTTACTCCAGCCTGCTCACTGCTTAGCATTTCTGTGCAAGCGTTCTTGTCCCAAAACATTTAAATAAACGCTGAAATCCAAGTTATGTACATAGACAGAAATGTAACAAGCTGTTCTCCTGGTTTTAAGAAACCCGATGCTGCTTTTGGGCCTTTTAAAGCCAATGACTGAGGAGGAGGAGGTTGCTGTTTTAGTCATATGATAGTAAACTGAATATCTTTAGACATTTGGTTGAATAAAACAAAGCTCTAAGAATACATCACCTCGGGCTGTGAGAAATTACAAATGCCGTTTGTCACAATTTTTGTGACAATTTATAGACCAAACGATTGATCCATTAATCAAAACAAATATTAGTTAATTGCAGCCCTAAGAAAAACAACATAATGATAGATTCATCAATTCATCTGGGGATTGCTGATTGACTCATCATTTTAGCTATAAACAATATAATCATGTGCATGCTGATTTAGTATAATGTAAAACCTAAAAAGAGACACTTTTTGCCTGAAAAACTACATAAAATATTGACCAGTTATCAAAAATAGTTGCAGATTTATTTTCTATCAATCCAACAAATCTATCAGTCGTTGCACCTCTCCCTGTGTGGACAGCAGGCATGGATCAGAGGTCAGGATAATGTTATATCCATGTACATAGGGACATGAATAACCAGGTTCCCCTGCGTTTCATGAAAACGGCACAAGTGTACAACATCTGCAACCTTAAAGTCACTGTCTTTGATCTCTTCACAGGTCACGCTCGAGCTCCCGTCACCTATCTGAGCACCTATCCTGTTTGTACCCACTGTTGTGGGTGACGCTCTCATCAGGCCTCATGCACTTGTGCTGCTTTTGTCAACAGTGTGTGTGTGTGTGTGTGTGTGTGTGTGTGTGTGTGTGTGTGTGTGCGTGCGTGCGTGGGGGGTCAAATGGAATGACAATACAAGTGAGTGCATAACAGTAATGCCATTAAACACAGTGCAAGACTGTTTCCTTTAAAAGGTTCATACCTGGGTGGCTTTGTGAGCCAACTTGTGTAACTGTCCAATCAACAATTTCAGCAAGACTCATTCTTGACACATGAAAAGCTGACAGTTCTCTGAAAATGTAGATCTCTAATAATCAAGATTAATCCTGTGAAGTGGGTTAACGAATTGTAATTACTAAAATTTGATTCACCAATGGCATCTGTGCTGTATTTCTGACGACACGTACTGAATGCATAAATTTTAAAAAGTTTTGAGCACAGCGTTTAAGTCTAAAAGGTGCTGATAACCAAAAGCTAAAGCAGAACACAAAAACAGCATCATGATTCAAATATCATCATCTCAGGTTTGATGTTAAGATCCTTTTTTGTCCAGCTGTGGGTCTTGATGTTACAGCAACATAGCTTTCTGCTAATCACGTGCAAGAAGCTGACGTTAAAATGCCATTAGCTTATATAATGAAATAAACCATGCTGGGAAGTGGTTTATGATGCACTGCTAAGTGAAGCGGTTGAGCTAGTGATAGCAATATTAGCTTGGCCTGTTAATAAAACGAGTCTCTTTCAAAAAAGGATGAAGTTCAGTCGTTTTAGTTAAGGATGAATGACTTAAACACATATCACTGGGTAGCACTCTGACCTCACTCGCTTATAGCTGAGCTGAACTCCAGCAGCTATCATTATTACATTTCTACAAGGACGAGGTGGATATCAAGAGCACAGAAGACTTCCTAGCTATTACAGATCAGTATTCTGGCTGACACTACATGAAAATGGTTAATTGCTTCTAACAAGTGAACCTGTTTGCAGAGGGCCTGAAACAGTCTGTCTTTGATATATCACAGAGAAAATCAGCACCTAAAGAATTTAAGTCACGATCATGTCACCCCTGTGTATTTAATTAGGCAACAACATCCAGCAGTCCTGCTGTAGGCATGCAGCATGCCGCTCTTACTTGACTTTCAAGCTAAGAGTTCAAGAAACATTTAATGATACACATTTGAGGATGACAAACGCGTCAGCCTCACACTGCCATAGATACTCTCACCTTCACCATTCACTTAATGACTGAAGCTAAGCTTCTACGAGCAGCTTGAGATTTCTAAACCAGGGTGGGTCATTAGGACTCATGTATCTTTTTGTCCAAATTTTCCCCAAATGATCAAGAATGTACAGTATGATCGTATTTTATCTACAAAAGAACCACTGCTCTGCCTCTCCAGTGGAGGGGACGCAACACCCTTCATCTCTTAAAGCTCAAAGCTCAGCTTCCAGACTGCAGTGTGTCAAGCTGTGAGTGAGTATTCCCGTTTCCCTGACACACATCAAGCATTTCTTCAATGCTTAACATAACAAGTAGGGATGCAGCGATCCGACACCAATAACCTGGGCTTTGGTTATTGGCTAATGCAGAGTACCAATCCGGTAAAACTTAATAAAATGTATTCCTCACTGTGGAGTATCATCATTCTTTCATGTATAAGCCAACATCAAGCTTGACTTTACATTGCTTCCTAACTTCTAAACCAAAATGCTATGTTAGCTCTCCTAGCAAAATGTTCAGGTCCACGCATTGCGTAGTACATGTGCGGTTGAATTAAAAAGAGATCGGCCTACTTGTTACCGATACCTGATCCAGTTGTTGGAGTCAGTGTTGGATTGGCGTCTCCCTAGAGTCTGTCATAAAATACATTACATTGAATTACATTAAATCAGGCAACTACATCAGTCAGTAGTCAGGTCTAAGCCAAATTACTTGCCTGTAAACCCAGTGGTACAGATACCTACAGGACACATACATAATGTGCAGCTGCTCCTTGAATGTGGAGAAACAAGTACTGTAAGTGTGACAGTACAGCTGTGACCTTCATCTACAGTAAATTGCGTGTGCTGTCAAGATTCAACGGTAATCCACACAGAGCAGAGAACTGTTGTTACACAGGACTGCCTTGTGAGGGAAAGTTAACATGGTTAACCGACTCGGCGTCCTCGACTGTGGGTCACAAAACAGATGCTAACACATGCTCTAGGACAACTGCCACTAAATGCTGACCTAAACTTGTTTATCTAATGCTATGTTTACATGGCCAGTATTTATTGTTCCCTACTGATTTACTGCTCACTTCTCATCTGACTGTTCATATAGTTTTGTTGTAATGCCGGCAAATATCTGACAGCAGTCTAAACAAGTCATCCTTCTGAGCGGACCCACATGTCCCAAACAACAATAGCAAAGATTTAACACTTGGCGTGCTTGTGCAGAAGTAAAAAAATAAAATGGAGGGCATGTTATCATATATAATACAGTGTAACATGTTCTAAAATGCCAAATTAGCCATTGTTGCTGTTTTTATTCAAGTCTGTGTCTTCTTTTATGTTCATTTTAAGTCTCTTGTGCTAACATATTTCCCTATAGCACCATTCAGCCATCTTTTTTTTTTTCTTTCCAGAAAAGAAAACATGATATGGACTATGTTTCCTGGTGTTTGAATGTCACCTAATACACACAGCTATAGGTACAGGTGTATGAAATCAGTGTAAGAATTACCAGATTGCAAATTACAGTGCATGTTAGACTTCACTATTGTTAAACTCACTATTCACATGATGCAGTTGTGTGGTATCTCACTTCCAAACACTGTCAATAAGAATAACATAGGGCTTAATGCAAAGACCAGGTGTTCTATAGGCTGAAAGCTTTGCATTATTAAGCAGCGTGTTGCGCCCCATGTTCACTGTTAAGCAGTTTGTAAGCATTTTGCTCACAGCTCTGTGCAACCAAACACCACTGACTTCCTGAATCACTTTAAGATATTCAACCAGCCAGCTGAGAGAAACACTTGATATCTTGCTGTTCTTCTATCATGTGTGTCAGTTAAGCATGATGTTTGTTTGTTTGTCTCTATACAATTATTGCCAAAAACATCCCTGTGCCTTGACTGGACTTACTGGAATTACTTTCACGTTCAACTAATCTGCCGATAATTTCCTCAATTAGCTTATGAAATGTGAAAAACAGTCACAACTTGAGAGCCCAAGGTGATGTTTACAAAAGCAGTACCCTTGTTACTAACTTATTTCCAATCAGAGAGAAAACACTTGGTGATAGAGGGCAGTGGGATAGCAAGTAAACACTGGTGTCCATGTTCACAAACTGGGGTCAGCAGTCATCAGTTGGGGAGCAACATGCCCTAGTTTGTGCATCTTAAGTATTTACATTGGACTCAAAGAAGTAAGCATCCTTTTCTCAGAATAATATCCGAAGGCTCAGAATGGCTGTTTAACAAAGCTTACTTTAGATACATATCAACAATCATCTGATCCTTCTAACCACCTGGATGAATAAAATATATTATTTTATTTTATATTTATCTATATTGTTGTACAATATAGAATAAAGAAAAATGTAAGTATGCTATTGTATGAACATATAAAATAATAAAAAGTAATATCAATATATCAAATATAACCAACATTAAAATGTTTAAATTTAGATTAATATTGTGCAAACTAACCAAAGACACATGTCTTTACAGCTACCATGTTTGTTTGGATTAGGAAAGAGCATCACAACTTTTTTTTACAGTACATTTTGTTAATGGACCTTCTGGCCTTTCTAGGTATATTTTTCAGCGAAACCAGGTTTATCTCTGTGAATCGGAAGTAAATACATGAAGCCCAAACTGGTGCAAGGGAGCAACTTCATCGGTTTTAGAGCAATCTTGTGCATGTTTACCAACCAGAAAGCTGTTACACCATTGAGTCCAGTATACAAAAAAAAATGTGTATGAATAATAGACTCTTACCTGTATAACCTGCGATCCAGCCCCATGAAGACACCATGGCCAGCAACCATTTGAACATGACTCCTTCAATGTGCCAGAAAGTGGAGCTGTCCCATATTCTCAGCGGCTGCAGAAGCAGCAGGTATAAGCAGTAGGATGGGATGGCTACACAGTTGTTGAGGAACATAAACACAAATCGGATCACAGACTTGAGCAGAACCCAGCCCAGTTTGCCGGCCCCGTCCAAGAGCTGTGCCATCCTGATACGCACCGTCTGCAACAGAGACACAGCAACTGTTAGCATCTCGGCAAGACAGGTCGTGTGTGTAAAGAACATTAACATTACTGTAAACAAACGGATGTGCTCTCAATAGGACACATCCAAAAAAATAATCCAACGTTATACCACACACACTCTGGAAACACAGGAGTGAGTCTGCCGCTAACCGGTTAAGGGTGAGGCTGTTTCGCGGAATTTCAATGTGCCAACACGCGTAGCGGACGCTATCTTCTGATCATTATTCAAGAGGATTTATTCTGAAGTGCGGCTCATTTGTTATTCGTGACTCCCTATAGCTGCCTAGCCTTAACAGTAATACACGCAAAGACAGGACCATAAAAGGACCAGTCGCACAGAACGTGGTCGAGTACTTCAAGACATGCTAGCTAGCAGAGGGCTGAGTTAGCACAACGGGAACAGATGTTAAGAAATGTGTCAGGTATGACCACCCGCGGGCTATTACACTATTGTGAAACACACCGACACAGGTAATAGGTGTGGCTGATAAGCTTAAGGACTCTGGTATTTGATGAGACAACGCAGGATGTCTGGAGGCTGGTACAAAGCGCAATATCCTTGTGCCACATCCAGAATATAGTCCCACCCTGTAATATAGTAAAACTCTGGCAGATCATGTTACTCACCCAATTAATGTCGCTGAAGCATCCACGGACGGTTAAAGGTGTAGCTAATTGTTTTGGCGAGATATATTATGTCACGTGTAGCTAACCTTAAACGGTTAAGTTAGCATTTTTGTTGCTAGTTGACATGGCCCGTCTCTATCAAATCTGGGGACAGCGGTGGAAACGTCTGATAGCGTTACAACAAACCCCGTGCGATAAAACTGCAGCTGCACCCATTTAGCTAACTTCACGTTATCCGGGGGCTGCGCTGGGCAAAGGTAAATCCCACTGTTAGCTCGCTAGCTTGCTAGCAAGCAGCTCCACTTGAGCGTCGCTGGCTCCATCTCAGTCCGAGACACCGGGATTATTCCACTGATGCATCATCATCATCATCATCATCGAGTTAGCTAGGTTAGCTACCGACCTCCCATTAGCGAATATGAACGGGAGACGGTTCGGGTCCTGGGATCAACGCTGCCGGTTAGATAGACATAACACACACTATAAACGACAAATGCACATCAAACATGAAGGACAGAGATTTATCGTTTCTAAGCAGGAACGACCCGTTATCTTTCTCCAGGACCCGATTCACGCAGCGTCAACAAAAGATCAAAAGACTAAGGCCGGAAGTGGGTCCACGTTACCTTCAAAATAAAAGCTTCGGTTGTAGGTACGTGTGATTACTACACAGGGTTGCTTCAAAAACTTGTTGCTTTATAACAAAATATAATCCAAAATAACTGTGTAATAAATGTGTTTTATTTACTTTTATAACAAACAATGTTGTTTTCATTGTGTTATTACTTACTGATATATTCTGTTTGATGTTTATAGTTTGCTTGATTTTGCTCATCATTTTGTATTAAACAAAAAAAAAAACTTGTTTTAACTGTGTGCACGCTCAGAAACTATGTGCAAGTGTACCAAGACGAATTGTAGCTGTTTTGAAAGCAAAGGGTGGTCACACCAAATATTGATGACTGAATATTTGATTCAGATTTTTCTTCTGTTCACTCACTTTCTTAACTGATAAACACAATCTATCAAAATGTCTATTTTTGAAAGCATTCTTACTTAACAGCATTTTCCCCCACCTGCCTAAAACTTTTGCACAATAACGTGTGTGTGTGTGTGTGTGTGTGTGTGTGTGTGTGTGTGTGTGTGTGTGTGTACTGTGCAAAATCTGTTGGGGTCTATCCACCCCAAACAGATTTAGTTTGGACTATACAAAACTGTCACAACACTAGGTGATAATGCAAGATCTACTTTAGTCGATATTGTAAATTAGTTGTGCAAATTTCCTTAAGATGTAGGCTAGACAGGATGATACACAGCCACAGCCAGGTCTAATGGCACCACCATTAGGACCTGGCCCAGGTACCCATTTTGCCCTGTTAAAGATCCTGCATTGGAAATTACATCAATGCATGTTGTCAGAAGACATAAAAAAGATGAATACATACATATACATATATATATACCAAAATGCAGAATAACTGAGTCTACAGTCAAATAAGACAACAATTTAAATGTGTTTACAAGAATAAGGCATGTGTTTGATCCTTTTCTTCTAAAAACACTAAGAAAGTCATCCTCGGAATTTGCTTCTACTTACATTTAATATTATAGATTTTAAAGGGGGGTTAATAAAATAAATCACATCGCTCAGCAGTCTTATTTTGAAATCTGTCCGGAACCTCCCGTTTCATTCCTCGTCACTTGACGGTCTTGCGTTCACCTGACGCCAGCTTTTGTCCACGAAGTGCGCAGGCTCGCGGCTGTGGATGATGATTTCGGTGCATGTATGAACAAGAAACTGCTTGTCTAAATTTTGTGACTAAATCGTATGACTTCATTTTAGATGCAAGTTCTTTTCAGATTACATCATCTTTGCGGGCGCGTGAGTTAACCTTCAAAATCAATGGATTGAGTTTCATTTTAAGCCTAAACAGCGTTGTTATCGTAGCAGTGTTTGCCTCATTGTTAAAGCATGCTATTTGAGATAGTTTACAACTGGTGTCATACATGTTTGGAAAAATTACATGAAAAGCATACGATTATAGTTCCATTCGGCGATATTAGACACTGTATGAATTAAGAAAAAACTATAAAAAAAAAATTATTACTAAAACTAGTTGTCTTAATGCAGAAAATTTCAACGCTGTAGTTCGGACAAGTCTTGGAACAATTTCTGGTGCTCTTCAGACGATGTCCAGTTATTGACTATGGTCTGCCCCCTGACGGCCGTTTATGTTGTTACACTTTATGAACATTAAATGACACCGTAAATCCAAGGGCATTCATACATTGTCCTGGAGATTACTTCATGAAGCATGAAATACTATTGGATTTAGAGTATGGTCAGGGAATTAAAAGCAAGTTTAGTTTTTTTATGGTGGGTGACCTTGATGCTGAAATATTGTGACTGCGTCATCTTGTGTCAACATTATGGAAGGATTACACTCATGTACAGCATTCAAAATCTGCTCTTTTAATCATTGAAAATATGTACATATTCAGTTTCCACAAGACAAAACAGCTCTAAGGACACAAGCTAAAACTGTTTGTGATGATAAAGCATTCACTAGAAGCGAGTGTATGCGCCCCTCTGTGGAGCCGGCTGAGCTCCACCCTGCTGCAGCTGATGGCGGAGCTGCTGGGAGTACGGATCCTCCAGGGATTTGACTGACACCATCGTCTTGGGGCCGGTCTTCCACTCGATGCCACTCTCATCCACCACAGAGGCCTCCACAGTGACCGAGTGAGTGCCCAGAATGGAGAAATTCAGCAAGAACTGGGTGCTGAAGTAGTCGTTGTGGGGTTCCACCCGCTGCTCGATCTCATTAGTTCTGGTGTCGAGTGCAATCTAACAGGGGGGGAAAAAAAAAAACAGGAACACAAGACAAATATGAAATGTGTTATTATCAACTGAGCGCCAACACAGCCAACCAACAGCACAGGATTTAATATTTTTTTATTATCTGAGCAATAACCAAAGATGGAGGCAAACACTAGATACCTTGTAGTCGGGTCCTGTCTTGCTCTGGAGAACTGAAGTGACATTGAGGCAGACCGACTGGATTTTCCTGAAGAGTCCTGGAGTTGAACCGTGCTGCACCACCCCCTCCACCTTTAGAGTCAGCTGCTGACTGCTCTGCACTGGGATCGGTTCACTCGGTGTTCGTGGGGACGGAGAGAGGGCCAGCTGGAAAAATAAATAGACAGCTTATGACCTGTGTCGGCCCTAAGACAGCTTAAGACAGAATGTGGCACAGCTGCAACTCTCCTTAAAGGTGTGGTATGGAATTCTAATCTAGTACGCATGTTTTTGTCAAATTTTGTGAAAATCTCCACATGCTCTGCTGGCTGTCCATTCTGTGTGTGCGCTGACTCTTGGGACTGTCTCGTCCTCTCTGCGTGTTAGCTTCACGGCAACTGTAGTGACAGTTTGCTAACCCACAACTTAGCTAGCGTTAGTTACATAACTTGCTGAGTCGTTGTTCGCTCTATATCACAGTACTGAATTTCTTCAATCGCATATCCTATAACAAAGGGATACTGTACACATGTTGTCCTAAGGATATTTTAATCTAGTACGTGTTCTTGTTTTATTTATCTAACAAAGAGATGAGCACACACAATTTGTATCTCTCATACATTAGTAATTCACATACATTTAATAGCAAATAAAAAGTAATGTAGTGAGCTCTCCATTATTCTTTAATGTTTTAAATTCTGTTTGGCATCTGCAATTACAAATTGAGAAGAACATTTTTATTGTGATTTTCTACTTGTAGTGGATTACTGTACCTTAATGCTTGTTGACTGGAGCTTTTGGAAGAAATACCTCTGGAAAGACAGCGGGACCTTCAGCAAAGCTATGACAGCATCACAGAGACACCCTGTATGCTGAAAAACAATAAACAGCAAACATTTTATTATTGACATCCAAGTTTTTGTCATTTATCTTTATTTAACCAGGTGAACGTTCTGTAGAAATTAAAATCTTTTCTTCTTTTTTAGACCGGTTAAAATTCATATACAGGTATGAGTTTTCAAAACTACTTTAAAATAAAGTAAAAAAAATAATTAAAAAGCAAACACCAAAGAAGAAAGAATATGTAGCAGCCAAGCAAGCATAAATGAACAAATAGACTACAATACTAAATAAAAGCAGAGAGCATTTGTCCATTATTTGCACTATGCAAACACCCTGCAACTAATTTGTAGCTAACTCATTGATCACAAGGTGCTCTACATTAATCTTACCAGGCATGAAACAGGAGGGTGTTTCTTGGTGAGGCCCTCCACTTCCTCCAGCACATGACTGAAGACTGACATCATCCGTCGCTCATATTCACTCTCTGTCTGCACCGACCCTAGGGTGCCATACTCCTGAAAACTAGATTACAGAAACAGAAAGAGACAATCTGTTATGGACAAACGTCTGCCAGGAGGATGCCCTCAGGGGACGTGTGTTATGGCAAAGCCCTTTCAATAGAAAACACACATGGTGCAGCGGAAGACCTTTATCAAATTAAATAAGATGCATTCCCTTTCATTAAGCTTATAGAAAAAGCTACATCCATACCCAAACTCAATATGATGTATTAAAACTAAGTAACACAGAGAATCCACCTTTTCTCATACAGTATGTAAAGCCAGTGGAAATCCTTTAACATGAGGAAGTGAATAAAATCATTTTACTCTACAGCAGTTTTTCCTCAAAGTTCTGAAATGATACACAATGAAACTTCGACTAAATCTAATTTTAAACTTTCTCCCGAACCACCAAACAAATTTATACAAATCACGCTGTTCCACCTTTGTGGTCTCCAACAGCGCTCACCTGGCTGCCTGCGGGTCCAGTATCAGCGCTTCGATTACATGGGAGACAAGCAAACAGCTCTGTTGTTGTCTGAGCAGACAGTTAAAGAGAAACGTCTGACATTAAAGTAAGAAGACATTACAGCAGAGGAACCAGGGTCATCAAAAATAAAAAAAATAAAGACAAAACTGGGACATGTTTAAGGATACAGCTCCACATTGCGAAGGGTGGCGTAATCAGCGTCAAACGACGACTGGTGTAAGTCAGCGTAGCGAGCTGCAATACTCCTGAACTCATCCATGCATACCTTCATCTGGGAAACAGAAAAACAGCAGTGACTTGTTGATTAACTACAACTGGATCACATTCAGTACATAAATCCTGCTGGTCAGTGAAGTAGAGGACTAGGCAGGCTTGTTTTGCAGCTGGATTTTGATACACAGCTCAACGCAACTGCAAGATTTTACAATGTATGCCGTTCTTTAAATCCATTTGTATTGATCACACCTGGCAGCCACAAACAATTGTATTAATCTAGACAATGTGTTAGTACTTATAATACAGTGGGGAGAACAAGTATTTGATACACTGCTGATTTTGCAGGTTTTCCTACTTACAAAGCATGTAGAGGTCTGTCATTTTTAATCATAGGTACACTTCAACTGTGAGAGACAGAATCTAAAGCAAAAATCCAGAAAATCACATTGTATGATTTTTAAATAATTTGCATTTTATTGCATGACATAAGCATTTGATACATCAGAAAAGCAGAACTTAATATT